AGCAGGCGGAACGTCTGTAATGTTATTGTTTGGCGTCGTTGACGGATGCCCGTGCTGGCTACCACCAGGGCCCCCTGCAAGCACGGCACGACCGGAGGTGGTTGGGACTCGCTTCTTCTCGTCCTTGTTCCAGCTGGTGTTGGACGTGAGCGTCCCTTCCCTCTTGCCTGCGTTACCACTGTCCGCTCCCGCCCCCGCCCAGTTGCCCAGAGGTGGTGGGCAAGTGCTTCCCCCTATCCCCCCCCCCGGCCGTGGACAGAGTGATCGCGCTTTTTGTGCTGCCCTCTGCCGTGCTACCCCCTGCCCCTGCCCCCCCCTCCCCCGGTCGTGGCCAGAGTGATCGCGTTTTTGTGCAGACGAAGCACACGTGTTCAGGAAGCGGCGAAGCTGACGGGGCGACGAGGCCGCGCTGGCCCCGGGAGCGGGCGGCAGCCGGAAAGCGGGTGGCCAGTCACCAGAGGCTCTGGGAGCTTAAGATCGCATCGTGGCGCGGGCGGCTCGGGGGGGGCGGGAACGACCCGTGGGGGGACGGGCAGGTGCGCGGGGCGTGCGCGCTGCGTGGGCGGTCCCCCAGCAGGTGGGCTGCTCAGCATGGAGGGGGCCCTCGTGGTGCGGCCGACGGCGTGGGCGGGTCTGGGAGGGCGGGAACGGGCCGCGGGGGGACGGGCAGGTGCGCGGGGCATGCGCGCTGCGTGGGCGGTCCCCTAGCAGCAGGTGGGCTGCTCAACATGGAGGGGGCCCTCGCGGCGCGGCTGCGGGAGCGGCTGCGAACCACGCCAGGCGGCAGCGGGCGGCTGGGCTCTCTGTGGGTGCGGCCCTGGTGGCATTGCGCGCCAGGTGCGGCTGCAGGAGACCTCCCCTGTCGTTGTGGTCTGGCTTCTCCTCAGCAGTTATCCACGGGAGTCCAGCGTTTCTAGGGCGCTTCTATGACGGCGTCCTGTCAGCGCAGCGTTGTCGTCTCGGGCGATCTTCGGCGACATAGACTTCCATGACAGGTGTCGGAGGGGTGATTGCGCTGGAACGGTCAAGGAAGCTGGCCCAGTTTCCTCATCGCAGCCTCCATCCTTGGAGCTAATGTGAACTTTTGAGACGACTGTGCGCGGCTCTTGCGCGGCAGCCTCATTTTGAAACGACCCCCACCCTGCCATTGTTGAAATGGTTGCGGTATTGTATAACAAATGTTCGTGGCTCTGAGGCGAGGGCCCCATTTCGAAAAGACCCGCCCTCGATCCTTGAAGATGCTGCAACATTTTAAATCGTATGTGCGTGGCGCTAAGGCGAAAACCATGTTTTGCAGGCCACCTCCCGTCATGCTGGACACCATCTAGAAAGAAAAGGGATCGACGAGAAAAAAGGCGACACCGATCCTTCCTGGGTACGCTTTCGTCCCAGATTCACTTGACCGTCCCGAATCCCGAAACATGGCCCCCAGATTTTCAAAATGATGAGGCAATTTAGTCCACGAACCTCGACGCCCGAGCCTCGATCCTCGATGTCTGGGTCTGGGGGGAGGCAGGACCCGCATTGCAGGCGGCGCTCGCTGCCGCCGCCGCCGCTGTCGGCTCAGGCCGTTGCCGCCGTCGTCGCCGCCGCTGTCGGCTCCGTCGCCGCCACCGCCGTCGTCGCCGCCGCCGCCGCCGCCGCCGCCGCCGTCGTCGTCGTCGTCGTCGTCGTCGTCGTCGTCGTCGTCGTCGTCGTCGTCGTCGCCATCATCATCATCATCATCATCATCATCATCATCATCATCATCATCATCATCATCATCATCATCATCATCATCATCATCATCATCATCATCATCATCATCATCATCATCATCATCATCATCGTCGTCGCGGTCGCCGTCGCCGTTGCCATCGCCGTCGCCGCCGTCGCCATCGCAGTCGTTGCCGTCGTCGGGGGCGGCCCTGGGGAGGCGGGATCTGCCCAGCAGGCGGCGGCTGCCCAGCCGCGGCGGCGCTGGGGCTGCGCCGGCGGCCTCCGCCGAGCGCGCCAGCGCCCGCGGCTGCCCCGCGGCACAAGGCCCGGCGGCGGCCTACTTCGGCGGCTCGGAGGCTTTCGGGGGGCCCTCGGCGGCCCTCGCAGCCCTCGGCGGCCTTCGAGAGCCCTCGGAGGCTCTCGGAGGCCCTCGGAGGCCCTTGGAGGCTTTAGGCTGCACCCGAGGGCCCTCGGAGGCCCTCGGTGGCCCTCGGACTCCCTTGGAGGCCCTCGGACACAAACGAGGCCCACGGAAGCCCTCCTGCCTCCTCCTCCTCCTCCTCCTCCTCCTCCTCCTCCTCCTCCTCGTCTTCGTCGACCTCGTCGTCCTCTGCCGAGGTCTTGAGCAAACCGGTGCCTGCTGGTGAGGCCGAAGTTGCCCCAGAACAGTCGTACCCTGCAAAGGTGTCCACCTTGGGACGCCCAAAGTCCAGGCATCGGCGCGTGCCGTGGCTGGAATTTGTGGGACCCCGCCACGCTTCACGGGGGGCTTCGCTCTGGGGATACGTTTGATGCCTCCCGAGGCCCACAGGGGGGCCACCCGAGACACCGACGGCCCTCCTGATCCTCCTCGTCGCCATTGTGGCTGAAGCCGCCCGGGCTCTGGCCTGGCGCACCTCCCCTACCATCCGAATGCTGTCCGTCAGTGCCCTCCCCGCCCACGGCGGGTAGCCGGCGCTGCTCCGCAGGGGACGGATGGCGCGCGGGGCGCGGCGCGCGCCCGCAGCCCTCCTGTCGCTGGGTCCCGTGCTCTCGTGGGCCCCCGGCTGCACGGCGCTGACGGTCGCAGCGGTGTTGCAAGCTGGGTCGCCCCCCGCGGGGCCGGCGAGGCACGCAGAGGCCAGGACCGTGTCGGCGCTCGTCTTCGACCAGGGCGAGTGCAGTGTGTGCGCCTTTCACGGAAGGGCCGCGCCGCGCCTGTTCATCGGCGGGAGAGACGACGGCCTCGGCAACAACGTTGCGGCCATCATCTACGGGATGGCCTTCGCGAGGAAGACCGGAATGAGCTTCGGTGGCGTGATCGGCGGCGGCAACGTGGCCCACGGGTTGAAGGTCGGACGGATCGTTTCCGATGTGTTCGGCCTGCAGAAGGACCACCTGTACAAGAAAATCATCCCCATGCCAGCCGTCAAGGTCAAGAACCTTACTCAGCTCGAGGATTTGCGGTTCAACCAGAACGTGAGCGGCGACGTGTGGCTGGCGACCAGCCTGCCCCAGGGCGGCATTGAGGCCCCGCGCACGGTCGACGACTTCCTGGACGACGAGTTCCTCCAGGCCCTGCGGGCGCAGCTGCTGCCGCGGCTCGCCAATCAGAAGCCGATCGCGGCGATCCGCCACGGGAGGGGCCCCGTGGTGGCCATGCACGTGCGGCGCGGCGACGTGTCTGCTGTGAGCTACCCAGACCGCTATACCAAGAACGAATTCTACTACGAATTGGCGGGCCGCATCCGCGCGCAGTTGCCGGGGGCGGAGGTGCACGTGTGGAGCGAGACGGGGAGGAGCTCGGTGCCCAGGAGCTTCGACGGCTTCCGCGACCGGAACATCACCGTCCACCTGGACACGGACGTCCTCCAGGCGTGGTCACACATGGCCCAGGCGCAGGTGCTCGTGATGGCGAAGAGTAGCTTCAGCTTCATCTCGGCCATCATGAACCGTGGCTGCGTCGTGTGTCAGCCCTGGCTCACGCGGCCCCTCAAGAGCTTCACCGTCACTGCGTTGCACGACCGCACCATGCCCACCATCGCCGACGAGGAGCTCTCGGCCTGCCTCGCCAGGGCCGAGCCCCGCATCGCCTGAGGCCTGGGGCGCCGCGTCGAGGGGGTGCGGCTTCCTCCCGGTCGCACTGGTCGCCCTCCGTGCTGCCTCACGCGTCACAATAGTCTGCCATGTGAGCTAGCTGAAACGCAAAGCGAGTAATCCGTCCCGCGTAGTGCTGTCCTTTTGCGTGTTGGACCTGCACCACCATCTTCTGTCAAGAAACTCCCTCCCGTCAAGCTGGATCTCGAAATTCCTTGAATTTCGAAGCTGGAATTCAAGCTGGCCCCGTTTCTTAACGCTGGAGGTCATGCTGATTGTTATGTTGGTTGTGTATATCTTTCAGATATTCCTCAACACGGCTCTACTTAGTTTGGTTTCCGATGTTATTTGTATACGTAGATTGCAGGTGCAGGAGTACAAACAAAAACCACTAAACCGATAAACTGATTACCCTAGTGCGACCCTACCTAGAAGTTGGAGCCCCTAGGAAAGCAGCATTAGCTGCTATGCTATGTTATGCTATGCCATGCCATGCCATGCCATGCTATGCTGCGCTATGCTGTGCGATGCTATGCTATATGCTATGATATGCTGCGCTATGTTATGCTATGTTATGCTATGCTATGCTATGCTATGCTATGCTAAACTATGCTATATCATGTGGTGCTGTGCTGTGCTGCGCTATGCTATGCTATGCTATGCTATGCTGCGCTATGCTATGCTATGCTGGGCTATGCTATGATATGCTATGCTGCGCTATGCTATGCTACGCTATGCTATGCTGTGCTCTGCTTTGCTAAAGCTCGGCGAAGCTAAGATGAAGGTAAGCTAAGCTAAGATAAACCTGAGCTAAGATGAAGCTAAGCTAAGCTAAGATGAAATAAGCTAAGCTAAGATGAGATAAGCAACGCTAAGCTAAGGGAACGTCACTGGGGGAACCGCGAGGCGGCTCTTGGGGGAACCGCCCGGGGCGGGTTCCACTGCCCGGCCCTTTAAGTCCACACAGTAAGAACCCTTCTAGGCAGAGCCTAGGTAGGGAATGAACCGAAATCATGTATCGGTTTATCGGTTTATCTGTTCGTCGACCGATCAGCTGATATTTTCATCAAAGTGAGGGGGCTGAACCGAACGGTCATTCACTGTCCCTGGGTTCGTGGCTGAAGTGGAATTCCGCGATGCGGATTGTTGTTGTTGTTGTTGTTGTCGTCGTCGTCGTCGTCGTCGTCGTTGTTGTTGTTGTTGTTGTTGTTGTTGTTGTTGTTGGTGTTGTTGTTTTCGTTTTTGTTGTTGTTGTTCTTGTTATTATTATTGTTGTTGTTGTTGTTGTTGTTGAGGCTGCTGCTGCTGCTGTTGAATATTATTACTTCTAAAGAATAATTATTGTTGGGCCCCCTGGTGCACGCCCCCCCTGCGCCGCCTAGGCCGCAGCTACATTTTCATCATTTTCGTGAGGAAGCCTCAGGTAAAACGATGTGATCCAGATCCGGTTGTTTTGTTGTAATCCGTTTTCCCTTGCAAAAAACACTATAAAATGACATTTCTTGTTCTAATATAATCAAATTTCAAGAATCCCTTGCAAAAAATAAGGTAAAGTGGACATTCGCGCGCGCAAGACGAAATCCTTCCAAAAGCTTAGTGTTCGGAGCGATTTTAACATAAAAACATCAAAAAACCAATGGTTTTTCAACAAAAAATGTCAAAATCTCATCCCGCGCGCTCTTGCGGATTCGTAGGAAACCCAACACTTTTTAAACATTTCTGTCAAACGGGCTTTTGCGAGCAACTTTTTCGAACTTCTGCGACAACGGTTGCGCACCTGCCAGGGCCATCATCCCTGTCAAATAATACCATGCGGGACACATTCGTTTTTTCTTCGCGCGCGCACGCCGTCGTCGTCGGCCGCGGGGCCCTGAATAGTAGCCACGGTCGTCCGCATGCCACGAAGTGAAGTGTCCGAACGTCATAGGGCGGGAAGCTGGGTGTGGGTGGTGGCGAAGAGTCGTTTGGAAATTTGGTAGAGCTTGAACCGGCCCCCCCACAAAGTGGGGGTATTGCCCGCCTCCTATGAAAACCCTGGCACTGGTGAGAACGGAGTGTCCCCAGTCTTAAATGATTGTTGTTGTTGTTGTTGTTGTTGTTGTTGTTGTGGTTGTTGTTGAACTCTCATTTCTGAAGAATATTTTTTGTTGACCCCCCCCGTCTGGTGCACATGTTTTTTTCGATTGGAGTGTCCTTCCCCGGGCTCGCACCCTGTTTTTTTATCAGGGGAAGTCTTGAGGGTCAAACTGTGTCGTTGGCCCCCGGTTTACAACAACAACGGCTCCCGCCTGCGACTTCCTCACAATTTAGCCATGACCCCCGCTTCCGCCCGAGACTTCCTCGCGTTTTATTGAGGAATCGCGCTCTCGCTGGGGACTTCCTTAGAATTTATTATCCCGGCGCTCTGGAGTCGCGCTCTCGCTGGAGACTTGCTTGCAATTTACTGAAGAGCAGCGCCCTTGCGTTGGAATTTCTTGCAATTTACTCAAGCGCCGCGCTCCCGACACCCAGGCACCCAGGAGTCGCGCTCACGCTTAGGACTCCCTTACAGATTACATAGGAATCGGGATCTCGCTGCCCTTCGTGGCCCCGTTGCAGCCCTTCTTGGCCCCCTCGCTTTGTTTCTTTGCCCCGTTGCAGCCCTTCGTGGCCCCCTCGCTGCCCTTCGTGGCCCCGTTGCAGCCCCTCGTGGCCCCCTCGCTGCCCTTCGTGACCCCGTTGCAGTCCTTCGTGGCCCCCTCGCTTTGTTTCGTGGCCCCGTTGCAGCCCTTCGTGGCCCCCTCGCTGCCCTTCGTGGCCCCGTCGCAGCCCTTCGTGGCCCCGTCGCAGCCCTTCGTGGCCCCCTCGTTGCCCTTCGTGGCCCCGTTGCATCCCTTCGTGGCCCCCTCGCTGCCCTTCGTGGCCCCATATATGTATGCCCTTCGTGGCCCCCGCTCGTTCGCGCCCGTGGTGGCCCCATATGCATCTGTCCTACGTGGCCAAGTTGCTACCCTCAGTGGCCCCATCGTTGCCCTTTGTGACCCCGCATTATCTGCCTTTCGTGTCATCGCTGTCGTCGTCGCCGTCGTCGTCGACGTTGTCGTCGTCGTCGTCGTCGTCGTCGTCGTCGTCGTCGTCGTCGTGGTCGGTCCCTCTTGGGGTCGGGTCGACGGTCCGCGGCCAGGCCGCCGATCAGCGCTGCCGCTGGCCAGGCCGACGGTCCGCGGCCGCCCCGCCGCTTGCCGTGGCCCGGCCTGCAGGGAAGAAAGGTATACCCCCCAAAAGGGGTTCGATCGAAAACGAAGAGGGCGGGTATCGAGGGTTCGGGAAATAGGCGTTATTGGACACTCAAGCAGATAAGGGCGAACAGTCTTAAAATGATTGCTGTTGTTGTTATTATTATTGTTGCTGATGTTGTTGTTGTTGTTGTTGTTGTTGTTGTTGTTGTTGTTGTTGTTGTTGTTTGTTGTTGTCGTCGTCCCACCCGCGGCCCGCCCGCGACCCATCCGCGACCCACCCCGTGACCCACCCGCGACCCACCCGCGACCCACCCCGCGACCCACCCGCGACCCACCCCGCGACCCACCCGCGACCCACCCGCGACCCACCCGCGACCCACCCCGCGACCCGCCCGCGACCCACCCCGAGACCCCCCCGGCGACCCACCCGCGACCCACCCGCGACCCACCCCGCGACCCACCCGCGACCCACCCGCGACCCACCCGCGACCCACCCGCGACCCACCCGCGACCCACCCGCGACCCACCGCGACCACCCACCCAATTCCGGCGCCTGCGGCGGGTTTCTTTTGCATTCGTTCCAGGTGGACCACCTGCGACCCACCCGCGACCCAAGCCGCGCCCGCGACCCACCCGCGACCCACCGCGACCCACCCGCGACCCACCCGCGGCCCACCCCGCGGCCCACCCAAAATTTTCGGCGCTTGCGGCGGGCTTCTTTTGCATTCGTTCCAGGTGGAGAACCTGCGATTCACCCGCGACCCAAACCGCGTTCAGTGTACAAATCAGAATTTTCGGCGCCTGCGGCGGGCTGTTCGTAAATTCCTTCCAGGTGGAGGTGGAGAGCCCGCGACCCACCCGCGACCCATCCGCCAGGTGGAGGAGGACGACGACGACGGAAAGGAGGAGGGGGGAGGATCGGGATGGGGGAGGAAGAGGAGGAGGAGGAGGAGGAGGAGGAGGAGGAGGAGGAGGAGGAGGAAGGAGGAGGAGGAGGAGGAGGAGGAGGAGGAGGAGGAGGAGGAGGAGGAGGAGGAGGAGGGAGGAGGAGGAGGAGGAGGAGGAGGAGGAGGAGGAGGAGGAGGAGGAGGAGGAGGAGGAGGAGGAGGAGGAGGAGGAGGAGGAGGAGGAGGAGGAGGAGGAGGAGGAGGAGGAGGAGGAGGAGGAGGGGAGGAGGAGGAGGAGGAGGAGGAGGAGGAGGAGGAGGGAGGAGGAGGAGGAGGGGGGGGGGGAGGGGGAGGAGCAGGAGGAGGAGGAGGAGGTGGAGGAGGAGGAGGAGGCGGACGACGACGACGACGACGACGAGGACGAGGACGCGGACGAGGAAGAGGAGGAGGAGGAGGAGGAGGAGGAGGAGGAGGAGGAGGAGGAGGAGGAAAAGGAGGAAAAGGAGGAAGATGAGGAGGGCGTCATCGACAGGGAAGGTGAGGGCCACGAGGTCCGCCAGCTCGACGCCCGCGTCGCCCGCGCCCGCCCCCTCACTCTTATCCGCAATTGCGGGGTGCTGCGTATCGGTTGATCGGTCGATAATCGCACGAACCGGTAAACCAATAAACCCGTCCCTTGGGCTTTCAGTTCCGACCGCGTCTACCGGTTTATCGGTTTATCGGCGTATCCGACGCGTAGCGATGCCCCAGCCCTGGGGAGGTACGTCCCACGCGGTGACTGGGTGGTGGGCCAGAGGCCATTGGAGTGCTCGTGGGGATCTCGTGGTTTGGCGGCTTGGGTGCCTCTTGGAAACAGCTTTGGGGCCCGTGGGGGGTCGTCTTAGGGCCTCTTGGGGGCTTTCGGAGGCCTCTTGGGCGCGAGCGTTCGCCTCGGAGGCGGGCGTTTGCGCAGGAGGCGAGCGTGCGTCCTGGAGGTGGGCGTGGAGCCCGGAGGAGGTCCCCGGGGCGGCTCCCACACCTGGAAGGGGAAGAAGAGGGGGAGGGAGGAGGAGGTGGGAGGAGGAGGACGAGGAGGAGGACGAGGAGGAGGAGGAGGAGGACGAGGAGGTGGAGGAGGAGGAGGAGGAGGAGGAGGCACGGACG